TTTTCATTGGGCGGGGTTTTAACGTGGCGGGACCCAAACCCAGCGCACGCGAAGTTTTACGCCTTCTCACTTTAGCTCGCTCCCAAACGGGTGTTTGGTTGCTACCCAGAGGATACGTGGATATAAATATCCGGACGTTGTGAGCTGCGATTTGAACCGTACGCACAAGAATCGCTTCTGGCCACTCCCAGGTGAATGGCAGTCAAAAGTTTTCCACTTCTGCACACGGAACCATCCTCCGCAACAACTGCTTTTATAAATAACTCGACTCCAGCGCCACCAAGTCAGTTTTCTAGTAGCCTATAATAGGACCATGTATGCAAGGCATAATCTCTGAAAATTTGACTGAAATCTATCTCGTAATTTTTGAGTTAAGTGCAAACAACCAAGACGGCTATTATTTTATATATATAGATTATATAAATGACAAGTGCGTCATTATAGAATTTACAAGGTATTATACCTGAATCGCCTTGAATAGTCCAACAAGTTGTTTGACAAGAATTTGATCCACAAAACACACAAAAACCGTTTCCACTCATCATGAAGCACAAAGTTTAGTTAGTAAAATTTCAACGGTTATATTTCATGTAACACCACGAGTTCTTCGATCGCCCATGATTGCGTAATGGCAGAAAGGAGTAAGGGGACACACAGTCAATTGATACTATATAAAGAGTGAGCAAGAAGGGAGCGTAGTTTCAAAGTTTTACATGTATAAGTAAAATTATCTGAAAAATTCGTGTTTTTCTTACATACAAATTCTTATGCCTAGTGATTTCAGCTATGAAATTAGTAAAATTCACATAAATAAATAAGTTAAAAAAGTGATTTTTAACTGATATTTGTTGAGCTAAAAGTTACATCATGTGCTATTAATTTTTCTTAATATATGGGGTATTCCCAACGGTGTCGTATTACTGTATCTCATGAGTTTTAAACGCCTAAAAAACATGCTACGGGGGTTCGCAAAGTACCATCAAAGTCATATTATGAATTTTCGCAGTGTTAAAAAATAGTTGCTTGTGGGTTCAAGTTCTCAAAACATTTATTTAAGCTTCTAATGTTTACGACATACAACAATAAGACGCACTTAATTACGCATGTAATTTCATCGCCCAGGTCGAACTTAGATCAGTGGTCGGCGCTTAATACCACAATTGTGGAAGACAGAGTGTCCAGATTTGGCGATTTCGCGCCAATTTGGCGGTTATTTTTGGATACTTGCGCGTAAAAATTTATGAAATGGCCATTGGCGATTTTTGGCGATTTTTTCCCTTCAAATAAATTCTTTTCAATTATAAAAATATACAAAACTTAGTTTTCCACGATAATTTTACAGAAGAGGCTAATGAACTGCGTGATAAACTTGACTTAGGAAGCATATTAAAAGAAAAACATTTTTTAACACCCTAATCGCAGAACTTTTGAAACGATAACCTAGTCAATTAAATACTTTCAAAAAGCTTTGATTTTGTCACCAGAAAGGTGTGTGAATCACAAGAGAGCTAGTTTCAGGGCCCTGCCAATTCACTATTTGACTTTGAAGGAAAGAAAAGCAGCGGAAACTGAATATTTAAATCTTTTAACTTTCCCATGGAATAACGTTTTTCAGAACCATTCCATCCTACTCTAAAGAATTTCGGATAATTGCTTACGCAGTGAACACCGCAACAGGCAATAAAATGTTTGGAAATATATGTAAGTAAAATAGCCTTCATATTATTATCCTTGCCGCACTCACATGCTTTTGTTGAGCGCGATTTTTCGGTAATGAATTCAACAAAAACTAAGATTCGAAATAGGATGAGGTTGGGAAGCCTTAATTCAATAGTTCGAATAAAGTTTTATATGAAGGCTAAAGGGCCATTCACATAAGACTTTCCTCGCTTTGTTTGACAGTTCAAACTTTGACAACAAAGTGTGAAACGCAGAAGGTATGCTACAATAAACGCTCTGACGGCTTTTGCGTTCTCCTTTTCCTCCATATTTTTTATCTGTAAAATACACAACAATATAATAATATGCATTAATAATAGCAATAATAATTCCGATTTACCCTATTTTTGTCATTAAATGCAAATGCAAGCGCACGAGAAAAGATACATGTAGACAGCTGATTGCCAAAGCGGGCAAAAGTTGAGAGTTGCCCAAGATTTTCCTTCGTTTTGCTTTGCTTCAAACGTTTTTTATGTGAGCATACTCATGCATATGCCTACATCGATCTTATATGTCAAAGCAAAGAACTATCAAGCAAAGCGAAGAAAGTTGTATGTGAATCAGCCTTAATAGTTTCTGCTGCAAAGCGTTTCCCAAGGCGAATTAATATAAGGTGATAGCAGGAGTACAAAAATAAAAATTTATATGTATTTTGTTTTTGCTTTGGCGGCATAAACTGTCAAAATCTGTAAGAGTGTGTGTAGAAATTCAAACAAAATTTTTCAGTTTGATATCAGAAGCCGTGCGGCGAAACACATACACAAAATCAGCTGAGCTAGTAACACCACCTTATATAAATTCGCCTTGGCGTTTCCAATATCAAACAGTATGTTATGAACGTTGAATAGATCAATATATGACAACAACAGAAATGTAAATAATTTAGTGTCCGAATTATTTGATTTTGAAGAAATTGTGGAAATAGCTGACCTCGCCTTATTATTGGTTTTTATTTTATTTTTAGTGCCGAGCTCTTAAAAGCGGATTGTGCGATTAATCAATTAATATGAATAATAAATTTAATAATTGCGCAGTCCTATTGCAAAATGTGTTGAAACA